CTGGCTCATGACGTAGGTCCAGAGGAACTGACAAGGTACTTAACCTTGACCAGAATTGAACGGGGGTCTCATTGGTTTTTGGGAAAACACTCTAACCACTGAACAAAACTGACCAGGGCAGTGATTAACTACTTTTTACCTTGATTTTATCTTGTTTTTTAACTTACTTATGCAATTAATAATAGCGTAGTTGCAACAGAGAACTGTATCTTTCAAAAGAAGAAAGAAGGAAAGTCTCTACAAGTTCAAGAAGACTGAAATCATATCAAGCATCTTCTCAGATCACAATGGCATGAAACTAGAAATCAATTGCAAGAAGAACATACAAAGACATCTGAGCACATGGAAGCTAAATAGCATGTTATTAAACAATGAATGGGTTACCGAGGAGATAAAGGAAGAAATTAAAAACTTCCTGGAAAGCAATGAAATTGAAGACACAACCACACAAATTCTATGGGATGCAGCGAAAGCAGTTCTGAGAGGTAAGTTCATAGCACTACAGGCCTACCTCAAAAAACAAGAAAAATCTCTAATAGACTATCTAACCTCACAACTTGAACTAGAGAGCAAACAAAAAGAAAACCTCAGAGCAAGTAGAAGGAAGGGAATAGTAAGAATCAGAGCAGAAATAAATGACATAGACACCAAAAAAAAGAATTCAAAGGATCACTGAAACAAAGTGCTGGTTTTTCAAAAAGATAAACAAGATTGATGGACCCCTAGCTAGACTCACCAAGAAACAAAGAAAGAGAACCCAAATACACAAAATCAGAAATGAAAGAGGAGAAGTAACAACTGACACCACAGAAATACAAAAGATTGTAAACAACTACTATGAATAATTATATGGCAACAAATTCAACAATCTAAACAAAATGGACAAATTTCTAGAAATGCATAGTCTCCCAAAATTGGACCAGAAAGAGATAGAAAACTTGAACAGACCAATAACAACAGAAGCAATGGAAGATGTAATCAAGACTCTCCCAGCCCAGGCCCAGATGGCTTCACGGGGGAGTTTTACCGAACGTTCAAAGAAGAACCAACACCCATTCTTCTCAAACTATTTTAAAAAATTCAAGAAGAAGGAAGACTTCCAAACTCATTTTATGAAGCCAGCTTAATTCTAATTTCAAAACCAGAAAAAGACACTACAAAGAAAGAAAACTACAGGCCAATATCTCTGATGAACATAGATGCCAAAATCCTAAACAAAATACTAGCAAATCGGATCCAGCAATACTCCAAAAATATTATTCCCCATGACCAAGTGGGATTTATCCCAGGGATGCAAGGCCGGTACAATGTTTGCAAATCAATAAACGTGATAACCACATAAATAAAATGAAGACTAAAAACCACATAATCATATCAATAGATGCCAAAAAAGCCTTTGACAAAATCCAGCATCCATTTCTGATAACAATGCTCAGCAATGTGGGAATAGAGGGATCATATCTCGAGATAATAAAGCCCATATATAAAAGACCTACAGCCAACATCATACTCAATGGGCAAAAACTAAAAGCATTTTCTTAAGAACAGGAACAAGGCATGGATGCCCACTTTCACCACTCTTATTTAACATAGTACTGGAAGTCTTAGCCACAGCAATCAGACAGGAAGAAAAAATAAAAGGGACCAAATTGGAAAGGGGGAAGTGAAACTGTCATTATTTGCAGATGACATGATACTATACGTAGAAAACCCAAAGACTCCATCAAAAATTTACTAGACTTAAATGAATTTGGCAAAGTAGAAGGATACAAAATTAACGTCAAGAAATCAACAGCATTCTTGTACACCAATGATGAACTCACAGGAAGAGAACCTAAAACACCAATCCCGTTTACCATTGCGGAAAAAAATTAAGATACTTGGGGATAAACTTAAACAAAGAAATAAAGGACCTATTCACAGAAAACTACAGGGCATTGAAAAAAGAAATAGAGGAAGATGCATAAAAGTGGAAGCACATACCATGCTCATGGATTGGAAGAATTAACATCATTAAAATGTCCATATTACCCAAAACAATCTGTAGGTTCAATGCAATCCCCATCAAAATACCAATGGCATACTTCACAGAATTAGAACAAGTACTTCATAAATTCACGTGGAACCAAAATCGACCTCGTATAGCCACAGCAATCTTGAAAAAGAAGAACAAAGTTGGAGGGAATCACATTACCAGATTTCAGGTTATACTACAAACCACTGTAATTAAAACAGTCTTGTACTGGCACAAGAAAAGGCTTATAGACCAGTGGAACAGAACAGAGAATCCAGAAATGGACCCAAGGCGATATGCTCAATAAATATTTGACAAAGGTGGCAAGACCTTACAGTGGAGTAAATACAGCCTCTATAATAAATCGTGTTGGCAAATGAACAGCTCCATGCATAAATTTACACCATACACAAGAATAAACTCAAAATTGATAAAAGACTTAAATGTGACTCATGAATCCATAAAAATCCTAGAAGAAAATGTAGGCAACAAAATTTCAGACATCATACGCAGCAGAATTTTCACTAATATATCACCTAAGGCAATAGAAACAAAGGAGAAAATGAATACATGGGACTACATCAAACTCAAAAGCTTCTGCACAGCGAAAGATACAATCATCAAAACGGAAAGGCTACCCACTGTATGGGAGAGCATAATTGCCAATGATATATCAGATAAGGGGCTAATTTTCAATATATATAAAGTGCTCATACAATTCAACAAAAGGAAGACAATGAACCCAATTAAAAAATAGGCAGAGGAACTAAATAGACACCTCTCCAAACAGGACACACAAATGGCTAAGAGATATATCAAGAAATGCTCAACATCACTAAGCATCAGAGAGATGCAATTTAATACACTGCTGGTGGGAATGCAGACTGGTGCAGCCACTATGGAAAACAATATGGTGTTACCTCAAAAAATTAAAAATTGAACTTCCATTTGACCCAGTGATCCCGCTTCTAGAAATATAGCCTAAGAAGCCTGAAACACCAATCAGGAAGAATATATGTACCCTCATGTTCATAGCAGCACTATTTACAATAGCTAAGATCTGGAAACAGCCCAAGTGTCCATCAGCAGACGAATGGATAAGAAAGCTGTGGTACATATACACAATGGAGTACTATGCAGCAGTGAGAAAGAAAGATATCTTATCCTTTGAGACGACATGTTTAAACCTGGAAAATATTACTCTAAGTGAAATAAGCCAAGCAGAAAAAGACAAACACCACATGATCTTACTTATATTCAGAATATAACAGTCTGAGGAATATGGTAGACCCACAAATATGGAGGTAGGGCACAGACTGACATCCCTCAGAAGAGGGTGTGGGAGGAGCTAAACCACAGAATTTATATGCATGTATGCATGACCAATGGACATGGACAGCAAAGCCAGGGACGGGGCAGGGGTGGGGTGAGGAGGGGGGTGCCAATGGGGTAAAAAATGAGAAACACCTGTAACAAATAAATAAATAAAAAATTAAAAAAACAATGAGGTATCACCTCACACCTGTCAGAATGGCTGCCATCAACAAATCATCAAACAAGTGTTGGCGAGGCTGTGGAGAAAAGGGGACTCTAGTACACTACTGGTGGGAATGCAGACTGGTGCAGCCACTATGGAATACAATATGGTGTTACCTCAAAAAATTAAAAATTGAACTTCCATTTGACCCAGTGATCCCACTTCTAGGAATATACCCTAAGAATCCTGAAACAGCCATCAGAAAGAATATACACCCCCATGTTTGCAGCAGCACTATTTACAATAGCTATGATCTGGAAACAGCCCAAGTGTCCATCAGTAGATGAATGGATCAAAAACCTGTGGTACATATACACAATGGAGTACTATGCAGCTGTAAGAAAGAAAGATTTCTTATCCTTTGAGACTACATGGAGGGACCTGGAATGTATCATCCTAAGTGAAACAAGCCAAACAGAGAAAGACAAGTATCATATGATCTCACTTATTTGTGGAATATAATGAACACAGCAGTCTGAGGAATGGGGTAGTCCCAGAGACGTGGAAGTGGGGTACATACTGACAATCCCCAGAAAAGGGCGTGGTGGGGGAGAGATAAACCACAGAATTTATATGCATTTATGCATGAACAATTGACATGGACAACAAAGCTGGGGACAGGGCAGGGAGGGAGGGGGAGGGGGTGTCAGTGGGGGGAAAAGGAGAAACATCTGTAACAAAAATTAATTAATGAAAAAAAAAGAAGAAGAAGAAAGAAGGAAGGGATGGAGGGATCAAGGGAGGAAAAGAAGAAAGAAGAAAGAAAAAGAAAGAAAGAAAGAAAGAAAGAAAGAAAGAAAGAAAGAAAGAAAGAAAGAAAGAGAGAGAGAGAGAGAGAGAGAGAAAGAAAGAAAGAAAGAAAGAAAGAAAGAAAGAAAGAAAGAAAGAAAGAAAGAAAGAAAGAAAGAAAGAAAGAAAGAAGGAAGGAAGGAAGGAAGGAGGGAAGGAAGGAAGAAGGGAAGGAAGGAAGGAAGGAAGGAAGGAAGGAAGGAAGGAAGGAAGGAAGGAAGGAAGGAAGGAAGGAAGGGAGGGAGGGAGGGAGGGAGGGAGGGAGGGAGGGAGGGAGGGAGGGAGGGAAAGAAAATTTTTAAATCTTGCATTTAACCAGCCAATTTCGTGTCTGTACTCCTACAGTGTTTCAGATTCCTAGAAATCCTGAACTCACCCCATCTGGCTCTTACTCTCCTTCCTAACAACCTGCTGCCTGGTTTCCCCCAGGAGGGGTTTTGTGACCTCAGACTGTGATGTAGTGCTCCTATGTAAATGCTCAATTGTTAGGTCACAAGCCCTCAAGTATGTAAAGCGGGAGGCTGAAGCACAGCCCAGTAACACCAGGCAGTGTGGGAAGCTCAGCAAGCTGGCCTGGGGGCTTCTGGAGTTTGTGGTGGCTAGTGGCCCCTGCCTGCTGAGTGCCTGAGAAGAGAGTCCAGAAGAGGCTGAGGATGAGCCATGAATATCCTGTTGCTCCTACTGGACTGTGTTTTGCTTGCCTTTATGTTTATTTTCTGGACAAACCAGTTTCAGGTAAAGTGTGCAAGACAGATTGGAAAGAGATGAAGCTAGGTAAATACATGGATGGGGTGGGGGATTGTCTAAGAAGGTAGAAAGATAGCAAAATGGTAAAATAAGGGTAAAGGGAGTTCACCTACTCCCCCCTTTTTCTCTTGCAAGAGCCCCAGATGTTTATTCTTTATCCCTACACTTCTCTTATCTTGACCAGTGATTTGACAGCTGTGATCTGTTGCCCCCCAGAAAGAAAGAAAGAAAGAAAGAAAGAAAGAAAGAAAGAAAGAAAGAAAGAAAGAAAGAAAGAAGAAAGAAAGAAAGAAAGAAAGAAAGAAAGAAAGAAAGAAAGAAAGAAAGAAAGAAAGAAACCCAAGTCACTGATATAGTCAGCTTTTTACCCACCTGTAAAGTACAGCTTAAAAAACCTACTCTCCACCACCACCTCCTGTTTTAAGAATCTGTACCTTCTCTCTTTTCTTCTCTGGCTTCTACTGACCCTATGTTTCTGTTCTCCTCTTCCTCCCCTGTATTTTCCTTTTCAGCCATCTTTATGAGAACGTTAGGGGCATTCACAACTAACTGAGGTCAAAATGTGATATTCCTGGTGAAATTTAAAGTTGCAAATGAAGTACTTTTAAGTTAGGATCAGACAGGGTCCAAATACAAATCTACTGGGCCTCCTGAGAAATGTAAAGCAAGGATATGGCATTTTAGCATTAAAAGGTCACTTTCATATATTTCCCCCTCAGTCTGTGTTTGGGAAGAGCATATTTCCAAATCAATGTAATTATTCAATAGATTTTTAATCTCTAATTTTTAAGGGAGGACAGTCGGTTCATTTTGGTAACCAAGACTAAGCATGTTGTTATTTGGTAGTATTTGTAAATTGCTAAACTCAATAAAGTACATATGTGTAATTTTCTTCCCTTACAGAGAAACATTGATGAAATATCATCAGATTCTACTGTTCTTGTACTAGTAAGACCATCCTCTTCTACTGGGTCAACTAAGTATAATACTGTTAAGAGTCTAGAGTCTTCAACCTCTCTCAGGATATGTTAATTAATTTCCCACACTTGATAGTCATACAGGAACTAATACTGGTAAACCTCAGCATGACAGAATACAAGTTGGCTGAAGTGGAATATTTCCTAGTTACCAAGGGTTAAAATAGTTCACTGTAAATCCACTGGCATGCTTACAGAATGTACTGACAGTGAAGGCAATCATTAAAGGCACTTTGAATGGATTAATTTGATTATATGTGTTTATACCAAATGAATTATTCTTTAAAAGAGGAGATGCCAAGGAAGATAAAAAATTCAGACATTTATCAATATTCTTATTCATATTTAAACAATTGATTAGATATTGCTAATCTATATTTTACTGGGGAAGAAATGAAAGCACAATAGAGAAAGAAAATAATCTACTTGAGATATAGTGATTTTATTTTCACTCAAGTGCTAAAAGTGGTTTTCTCTAATGGTTTACTACAGAGAAATACATAACCACACATATCTCCAAGTTTGTATTAAAGTAAATAAGATTTGATGGGCCACTTCCATTAATGCAGAATAGTCCTTTTTACCATTGTGGAATCTGTGTAATAATTATAAAAGCTGTCATTGAACACCCTAAAATATACCAGGCACTCTGTTAAAATCCATGCTTTACACCTTGTGAAGAGAGTCACACACACTCTTAGCTAACCTTTGTAGTCAGCTCTTAGAGGATTTCTCCCCATCACCCCCTCCCCACTGCCAATTAGATATTATTTCATTAGAAATGTACCAGAATCTTTCCTGAATTGCAAGAGTCACCTATAGTAAATTTCATGCATTTTTCTATTTGGTAAGAAATCCACACCTCAAATAGCATCAAAATATAATGGTAGAATGCCCATGGTATAATATGGATTAAAATTAAGAAGACAAGTATTTCTAAACTCTATTCACACATCTATTACATATATTTTATAAAATCCAGTGTAATCTAGGAACTAACAATCTGTTGAAGTTCACTAACAGCATTTGTCCTACCCTCAAAGAAAACCCTCAAAATATTTAAGATGAGCCCTGCTGGTGAGGCTTAGTGGATTGAGCATCATACCATGCACCGAGAGGTTCGATTCCCAGTCAGGATACATGCCTGGGTTACAAACTCCATCCCCAGAAGGGGGCATGCATGAGGCAGCTGATCCCTGTTTCTCTCTCACATCTATGTTTCTGTCTGTCCTTTCTTCTCTCTCTAAAATAAATAGAAATGTATTTTTAAAAAAATATCTAAAATGAGTTCATCTTATATGTATGTACAAACTAACTGATATTGTTCAATTACTGTCCTACCTACTTATCTACCTTCATGCCCACACTTTTCAAAAGAATTTATTAGTATAAATTAAATAAATTAATTAATCCCTTATTCTTTTAATCTAACTAAAGGAAGAGGAAAAGGAATTAAAAATGAATAAGAAATTAAGGTTTAAAATTATTCCTCTATTTCTTACTTGCCAAGAACAAAAGCTAGCAGTGGTGTGTGTGGTTCATAAACTTTTGAGTCACAGAGCCCTTTGATATTCTGATGAAAACTATGGACACTTTCTTTAAAAACAATGTATGCATACATACACATAGAAAAATACTGCATATAATTTTACTTCCATATATTCTCAAAAGCCACAATTAAAAAACCTTAAGAATTGTTGAAAAATTGCTTACATATTTAGGCAATGTTCATCATCCTAGGCTGTGATGTTTCAACCAATTGTCAATAATATATAATCAGTGTAAAAAACTATGAGTGATATAATATGTTTTCATTATCTTCTGTAACATACGATTTCTGGGACATACGATTTCTAATTTGGTTTCTCTCATTCTTGACAACTTTAACAAATTTATCTCCTATAAGTATGTAAATAAGTTATCATCTGTGAGTAGTAATGTATTCAAATAAGACAAATTATTCTACTTAATTTATTAACTATATAATACAACATAAGTTTTTAAATTTGATTGAAGCCATTTCCTCATTAGTATTTTGTGTCATGTTTTATTTGAAATTGCTCCTAGATTTCAGATAGTACAATGAATTACTCTTAATTTCGTGAAACAGTTGAAATTACATGAGTTATATTTTTCTCCCAAATATAACCTAAGGAAGACATTATATGAGGAAAGAAGTACTTAAAGATTCTGGTTTCCATTTTCTAGATTTATCACTTACTAGACACAGGATCCTTATTTTTCTGTCTTATTTTACTATTTGAAAACAAAGAACACAATTACTAAGCTCATATAGAAAAAGTCAGCTATAAATACATGAAGCTTTTAGACATATCTGGATCAAAAGTACTAAACTACAGTCCTTGTGTTATATATACAGTCCATTTATTCCAAATCTGTATGGCATTTCCAATTAAGTGAGGCCTTCAATTTTAACACTTTCTTTTAAATATATTGATTTATTTTCCCCAGTTGTAAGGGAAAAAAGATTGTATAACAAGAAAATATAAGCAAGTAATATTTAAAAATGTATACAATAGAATATATAACTATTTTCTAAATAACCTGGTCAAATTAAAGCATTCAATATATTACAAAAATATTATGGCAATATGTACACAAATGTTATTGTGAAATAAAGATAGCTGTGTGTGTGTGTGTTATACAAATAGATCATCTAAAAAGAAATATAATAAGTACATTGCTAAACATTAGTAGATTCACATTTTTATATTATATTCCTGCTTAAATGGGAAAAAATAATTGTTAGGCTATTATGAATATAATATATACATTTTTATTCGATTAACATACAAATAAATAAAAATTTTCTCTATTCTAAAAAAATCACATTACACAAACACATATTTTTAAAAATTAGAACTTATTCTGGTTTTCCACTGCCACTGACAGTAGGTATTTCATGGTCAGTCTCTTTCTTAGGATCTACCATGTCTTTATATCTCTCCCCACGGTATCGTTCCAGATATGGACCCCAGTTAGAAGCTGGTCTGCAGCAGCTTACAATGCGCTGAAATGGGAGGAAAAAAAAAAGCTGTCTTAGAACTTAAGTGCTATAATCTATAAATAAATAAATATCAAAGTACATTTTTATTTTAGAATGTTAAATTTCTTTGCCCTAAGCTTAGGGTGACAGGTGAGGATCTAAACTACTGTGTATCTGGGAAGTTTCAAGAACCAAAGAAAGGGAACTCCAAGGTGAAACAGTTGATCTAGATCTACTCTTGTATGGGCTTAGGTATTTATATAAAATCTGACTACTGAGCATACCTTGTTATTGCCCTATGTCCTAGTGACATGTCATAATCAACTCCATCCCCTAGGCCTCCATGGAAGAGGGACGACTCAGGATCTAGTTTGTGTTCAAGATAGTTGACCAGGTTTTTCCCAATTGAAACATACTATTAGGACATGTGTTATAAACAGAGCATGTTCTTTTTATTTTTCAGACCATGTTTTACAAATGAAGATTATAGATGTAAAACAAAAAAGGTCATATATTTTGCTTTTGCATCATTTTCAGAAACAATTTAGTACAAGTACAGATATAATAACTTTTATGTGCTAATATGGCCTGAGGCTACAGTAACATGTAAGACAAGACTTTTCCTTAAAGGAGCTTCTAGTCTAATACAAGGAGTCACACACATTTATGTCTACTATAATACAATGCTATGCATGCAGTAATGGATGTTTGTATCAGGTATAGAAGTAACCTAAAGGAAAGAGTGATTAATTGGATCTCATGGTCATAATCTCATGATACCACCATATTAATAAATTAATCTTCAGTTTGATCATATTGTTTTATGTGAAGTACAAATAATATTAATTTTGATTGAATTTATTGGGGTGATATTGGTTAATAAAATCATATAGGTTTCAGGGGCATAATTCTTTAATACATCATCTGTATATAAACTAACAAATAACATAGAAACAGACTTATAGATACAGAGAACAGACTGATAGCTGACAGTGGGAGGGGAAAACAGGACTGAGTAATAAAGGTGAAGGGACTAAGCAAAACAAAATAAAACAAAACCTTATTGACAGACAACAGTATGGCGATTACTAGAAGGAAAGGGGAGTGAGGAAAGGTAAGAAAGGGTAAAGGGAGAAAAAATGAGGATGGAAGGAGACTTGACTTGGGGTAGTGAACAAAAAGTATTAATTTAATGTGCTTACTTGAAAGATGTTCCCTTTAGCTTGAATTATTTTTATAATAGCCATAATTGGAATCCAAATAATGCAGAAAATAATCATACACCAGCCTATAGCAACTCCCCAGTCCGGGTATGAAATTTCACCATAATGAGGTCTACTAAATTTCACCAGTGACCAGATAAAAATTGCCTGTAAAAGTTAAAGTATGAAAAGACAATGCTAAAGATTAACTTTATCACACTAATGATTTCAATTACACTATCAGCAATTTGATTCCATTCCTTAGAAATAGTTTATCAAAAGTATGTACAAGAAAAATACTTTGAAGCAACTAATATAATCAGGTAACTAACCAGAAGCTAACAATACTAAGTTAATCAATCTACATTACTTGTAATTGGTTTTGAATGGATTATTTCAAAATTAGCACTCCTATATATTTATAAAAGGTACAAATACTAGTCCAACATGTACTATATTTCAATAAAATACTTTACAATAAAATATAGCAAATTGAAAGTAAAATAATATCTGTGATTTTATGTTATTGAACTTCAAACTTTTATTTATAATAGCATGTTTCTTTTCTATGCTATTAGTTAGACAGCATATCAATTAATTTAATGAAAATTTAAAGTACACTATAGTGAACATGCTTTGCTTCTTTCTTAGCAATAGTTTTCATTACTTCTCACTGTACAGAGCATACCTTGCTCCACATGCAAGCACACATACATTCACATATTAGTGGTACATACATATTTACCAAAGCAAACGTCACTTCCAGCCTCTCAGGCAAAAACAAAACAAAAAAACACCTCAATATTTGCTTAGAAGAACAATGAAATTTGAACGTTAAAGCTGAAACATATTAAGGCCAAGTTTTTTTTCTAATCCCATTTTTATTTCTTTATTTTTTAAATTAATTTATTTACTTTTGGGTTTGGGTTTTTTTTTTTATTAATTAATTTATT